CATTCTGAACTTTTCAACATACACACTTTTTTTAAAAAACAACAGCTGTAAATCAATGCTTCTATAAAGGAAAGGGTGAGTCACCAAAGCAGGACTCACATGTCAGGTGCCTTTTTCCATGTATCAACATACCGCAAATTCCCTGAATGAGCCAGGCTGTCATCCTCCACCGTGGCTCATGCCAGGCCTGCTACCTAGAAAGTGAGAGCTTCCTCACTCCCTCCTTTGCCCACTCAACTCCTGCTCATCCCTCTGTGAGGATGACCTCTCTAAACTCCCCACCCCAGCTCAGCCAGACCCTTTCCCGGTGGGTCCGCTCAGCACTCACCTCTGACCACCAGGTGCTGGAATGTCTATGGACTGGCCTGAGACTCAATACCCCATGCCTAGCACTTGAACTGGCTGGCAGGGGGCTGGCTGGATGGGGAGCAGGAGGGTGGACTGAAGGATGAGAGCAGGGACAGGGTCTGGGCACGAAAACTAAATTGGATTTGGGCAGCAGGAAGGAACACAAAACAGCGATCAAGCCAAGAAGAAGGTCAGAGGCCAGTCGGGGTGGCTCACACCTGTAATCCCAGCACTTTGGGAGGCCCAGGTGGGCAGATCACAAGGTCAGGACATCGAGACCATCCTGGCCAACATGGTGAAACCCTGTCTCTACTAAAAATACAAAAATTAGCTCGGCATAGTGGCATGCGCATGTAGTCCCAGCTACTCGGGAGGCAGAAGCAGGAGAATCACTTGAACCCGGCAGGTGGAAGTTGCAGTGAGCCAAGATCAGGCCACTGCACTCCAGCCTGGTGACAGAGAAAGACTCCATCTCAAAAAAAAAAAAAAAGACAAAGAAGAATAAGGTTAGAAAAAATTTCAAAGGCAAGAAATCACAAAGAAGATGGTTCTCACAGGCTGGGAGGTATCAGAACCATCCAGGGATCTTGGTGAAAACACAACGACCCAGCACTCTTCAACTTCAATCAGGCTGGGCTCACACCAGCCAAGGCCTCTGTTCTTTATCAGCTCTCCAGGTGACTGAAACACTCTCTAAAGTTTGAGAACAACTGGCTTCAGGTGCTGTAGAGGGACAATGAAAAAAGATGATACAGCCCCGAGTCTGCTCTGATCCAAGGCAGCCACAGCCACAAGCCCCCCGGAAGGGCCTGAACAGCTCCAGGGGGTGAACTGGGAGTTGCTTTGGTTGGAGGAAAACTCAATCCAGAATAAATTGCAGACATTCTTTAATAGTCTTTAAACAAGTGAAGTTGGTGGAGGGGGGCAGGAACCTGTTGGGCTAAAACCAGGATAGTTTTTGGGGAGAAAGTGGCCAAAGGGAGGGCCCTCCCCTCCCCTCCCTCTGACGCCCTGTCCTCTGACGCCCTGTATACTTCTGACAGCTTCTTCCATTTCTCCCCTCAACAAATCCAGCAATCCAACAAATCTTAGATAACAATCTCATCGGCCTTCTCAGGAATTTGGGCTAAGAGTGATTTTCCTCAATGGCTAAGAACTTAACACCATTTTCATACCAAGATCAGGAAGACCAATCCTCTGCCCCTCAGTGCCTAGCAGATCCTTTTCCCACCTGCTGACCGGCATCATCCGTCCACACAGCACACGTGGGTCACACCGCAGAGCCCGTGCTTTGCTCTGTGTGCTTTCAGGAAAGAAAAGCTACACTGAAAAGGCACAATGGGTGCAGACACATCTGTAAACGGCCATCAACTGTGATCAACTGAGTAAGTCAGCAATTTACAGAAAAAGAAGAGTGCTGTGGGAGTCAGGGCTGGGTTTGAGTCTCTGCCCTATAACCCACTAGTTGAATGCCACAGGTGAGCCATCAATTCTCCTGAAGCATCAGTTTCCACATATTCATGGGGGAAGCAATGTGGCCAACCACAGCTGTGGCAGCAAAGAACTTCAACAGGCACTTGTACAAAGTATATGTGCCTGTGGCTCACGCCTGTAATCCCAGCACTTTGGGAGGCTGAGGTGGGTGGATTACCTGAGGTCAGGATTTCGAGACCAGCCTAGCCAACATGGCAAAAACCCATCTCTACTAAAAATACAAAAATTCGCTGAGTGTGGTGGCATGCACCTGTAATCCCAGCTATTCAGGTGGCAAGGGAGGAGAAACCACTTGAACCCCGGAGGTGAAGGTTGCAGTGAGTGAGATGGTGCCACTGCACTCCAGCCTGGGTGACAGAGCAGAGACTCTGTCTCAAAAAAGAAAAAAAAAAAGTGTATGCTAATAAACGTTATACCTGGTTACACCCACAAGGTGAACTCATCTTCAGAAGTAGCAACATTTAGCTTTGAACAAAAGATATTCTCCCCCTCCTTCTACCCATCCCTCTCTCCTTCTCACACACACACAATGGTATTTTACCCAGTTGAAGATAATTATTAACTATTAACAATAATTACCACATTGTACAAATAAATTGCATTATAGAAAGAGTCGCTCTCTTCCAAAGTTTGCATTAACAAAGAAAAAGCTAAAATTCTCAAAGTCTCGTAAGTCCAGTCCATCTTTCTTTGCCACCTAATAAAACACTTTTTATTTCCTTTCATGGGCTTAAACTTCACTAAAAGGCAAATTGTCTGAGGGCACGCTGCTGAGACAACAGGACTCTGTGTGTGCTCAAATAATCCCCTGTTCCAGTTGACTGTTTTCTATTTTTCTGAATAGACACTGGACAGAATTGGGAATCAGAAATGGTCCTGTGATCTCTCTAATTGCTTCCACAGACAAGTCCAAAATGGGTAATTTTCTTAAAACACACAACTGACCCAAACTCCAAATGCTCCTCAAGGAGCCTCAGCCTTCTCTCCGACCAGGGCCCGGCTCCCTTGGCCAGGCCTCACCCCCTCAGGGCTGGGCAAAGATTCACATGGCACAAAGGGCTGCCCCTCCAAAGACCCGTCACTACCCAGAACTTAGAAAGGACAGGCCAGGAAGTCGGAGACGATGTGTTCTTGGACATCCATCCTCTTGGCCACCCTGAAGTTGACCCAATGTCTAATCCAAAATCGAACATTTGGGGGTCACTCTGTGACACAGAACTTATGTGCACCAAACACAGCCTAAAGGCCACATACAGACTTCAAATACACTGATCACAGTCAACACAGCAGAAAAACCTACCAAATCTCCAATTTGACACATCCCAAGAGAGATCAGTCTAAGACCCTCCAGCATTGTACTGGGGTTCTCCAAATCCTGTATCTGATCTGCAAGGAAACAGGTCCAGCTAATCAAAAAGTTAGGCCGAAAACCCCACGCAGAGGCTAATGTCTTATCAGGAAAGAGTACAAGGTTCAGATTCCCCACACGCTTGACATCAGACAGAGAGGCACTTCATTTCGGGCATCAACCTCTGTCAAAGTTATTTCCCCACTCGGTAAACTTATGCCACAAAGATCTCATTATGGTACTTGGTTAGCTTGACAAAATGACTTTATTGCCATTCGTTATAAAAAAAAAAAAGTAAAAGAAGCTCCAGCAAGGTCATTTTGGCAAGATCACATGGTGGCACTCTCTATGGGACCTAGCAATGTAAGAATTTTCTTCTCACATGTTTTAGCAAATCAAATATCAGGGGAACACTGTACGTGGTCCTTGCTTTTCAAAGAAAAATTTCCCTGCTTGCACTGTGGCTTCTGACATCCTGCCAAGTTTCAGACACTGAAATACGAATGGGATGAATAAGGATTAAGAAAGAGTAAATGCTATTAACAGCTCTTCTATTGCATGCATCTATCTTACTCAGGAGCCAATGACCCACCAGGGAAAAGAAGGGCTGGGAGGGAACCCAGCTCATTCAACACCTGCTCACAGATGGCAAGGTCGGCAGTTAATGCTGGGCTTTCTCCAACCACAATCATGTGTCTGTCAAAGGCCTGCACCACTCATCTTGACACCTAATCAAAGAACACTTCATCATGGATCGTCAGAGCTGCAGGAGCCATTAGCAACCAGTGGCTTCCCTTTTTCTGTGTGATGGGGGGAAGGAGAAACATCTTCTTGAGAAACTACATTTTATAAGACACCCAAATGAACTCAGATAAAATGGGTAACATTATTAGTAAGCCTTAATTTGAAAATTCCAAATTCACAGCATTTATTTCTTACAGGGTATCAATCTATTTCAAAAAAGCAATTTGAGTAAACAAAAAATATGTAAAATCGGGCCAGGCGTGGTGGCTCAGGCCTGTAATACCAGCACTTTGGGAGGCCAAGGCAGGCGGATCACCTGAGGTCAAGACCAGCCTAACCAACATAAAGAAACCCCATCTCTACTAGACATACAAAATTAGCTGGGCATGTTGGTGCACACCTGTGATCCCAGCTACTTGGGAGGCTGAGGCAGGAGAACTGCTTGAACCCTGGAGGTGGAGGTTGTGGTGAGCCAAGATCATGCCACTGCACTCCAGCCTGGGCAACAGAGCAAGACTCCGTCTCGAAAAAAGGAAAAAGACACTGAACTTGTCAACAGTAAGTAAGATGCTAGCTACCCTTATCAGTTTTGGTAACTACCTTGCTATCCCATAGCAGTAGCTATAAGCACCTATCTGTTTTGCTTTGTTTTGTTTTGAGATGGAGTCTTGCTCTGTCGCCCAGGCTGGAATGCAGTGGCGTGGCGTTGGCTCACTGAAACCTCTGCCTCCCGAAGCAGTTCTGCCTCAGATTACTGATAGCTGGGATGACAAGCATGTACCACCATCAGGCCTGGCTAATTTTTGTATTTCTTGTAGAAATGGGGTTTGACTATGTTGCCCAGTCTTGAGTAAACTCAAGCAATCCACCCACCTTGGCTTCTCAAAATGCTGGGATTACAGGCATGAGCAACCATACCCGGCCACCTATCCGCATTTCTAAACCGCCCCCAGGGGCCTCCAGAAATAGCAATTCATGCTGCCAAGGCCTATAACCTACCAGCTTGACAGGGGAGGCTTATCCCTACCCCACAGACCAGCAGTGAAAGCTTTAGGCCCGGTCCTACCTCCAGCAAATTCTGGGCCCCAGAAAACAGGTTTGGATCATTCCTGTGGTTGGGGAGGGGACACCATCCTTTGAAATAACAGTCCTGCATAAAGATCAAGACCGCTCAGGAGGTATTTCCAAAACGCTGACTTCACTCTGGTTGGTTCACTTAGTCTTGCCTTGAAACCAATTCCGAGGAAGCAGGTGACTTTCAATCACCTGAAGGAACAAAATGTCAAATCCAGAGCAGAAAAGGAAAAGAAAAATTATGGAAACAACTACATGTTTTCACCCTAGAGAAACCCAAGTCAAGAGCTGCCTTTAAGCAGAGAGTATTGGTGAGATCAGCTGGGTAGTGACTTCTCCAGCAGTCTCCAAACACCCATAACTAAAAAGAGCCATCCCGCGCTAAGGCCCAAAAAGATTTTATTTTGTAGCCTGACCTTTTACACACACACACACACACACACACACACACACTTTCACACACTTAACGCCTCACAGAGAAATAACAAGAAAATGCAAATCTGGGACGGTAATGGTATTAGGACAATAGCAAGCTTCTACGGAGCTCTTCTGAAAGCCAGGAAACATTTCAACACCTTAAGTAATCCTAAGAACATTCTGTGACGTAAGGGATGCTCCCATCTCCATTTTACAAATGGGAAGGTGGAGATGCAAACACAGGAACGGAATCACCCAAGACCATACAACTCACTCGCAGCTCGCAGCTCAGTGGCACAGAGGCTCCTAACATGGCCCCACCTTCCTCCTCGGGGCACAGTTGTTCCCTAGGGCCCACACACGCCCTGCCTTGCATCAAGGAGGGGTTTGCTAGATTGCAGATTGAAAAACCCCTCCTAGGTAAATAGGCCAATGCCTTCATCTGAAGTCTTTGGAATGTAGTGACAACCAGCCTTGGGTTTGGGAAGCATCACCACCTCCCATGCTCATCCTTTGGAGGGAGGCAGGCTGGGTGCCTTTCCCAAAATGCTTGACGTCATGAGGCGGATGCACCAGCAGGACAAGGACTGGGCCTGAATGACTCACAGTGGAGAGCTCTGGCCACAGACCCAGGCGGGCAGGACCAGGTGACGGACAGCTCCAGAGCACAGACACCTGAAGGGACCGAAGATGGAAAAGCCGGTGGCCCACGCTCTTCTCAGGAAAGGGAAATGTGCACTCCTGGCCTCTCGAATTTAAGCACGTTTGGAAAATGTTCATCATAAGGTATTTATGACATTCTGACCGTTTCAAACAAACCAGCCCTCTCTGACACTGAGGTGTGCTGGGTCCGAATGACAGCAGCATTCCAGGGCAGGAAACGGCCTGCAAGGCCTGCGTGCACCCACTGCTGGTCTGGGAGGACAACAGAGGTGCTATCCTGCTGCACGGATCTGTCTCTTAAGAGGGCCACCATGCTCGTCTCTGACTGGAAGATGTCACTGAAGCCTTCTCCTTAGGGGTGGCTCCAGGAGACACGTGAAAACCAGCCACCAGCCTCTGCTGGCCCTTCAAGAGAGGAGACCGGTGTGCACTGGAGGTCTGGAAGAGAGAGACCACCTCCTACTTCCTCCCTGAAGCTTGGGGAGCAAGTGTTTGGAGAAGAGAAAAGAGGGCACCTGGAGAAAGGGAAGGATGCTGGGGCCTGGGGCTGTGAGCCTCATGCATCAGCTAAGGACGCACAGGTAGGTGCTGCGCTGTGCCGGGGACAAGTGCTATGACTGCCCTCGAGGGCTGCTTCCAGGCCGACCGTGGATCACACAGTAGACGGTGTATTAAAGAGGGTTTCCTTGGTTCAGGGAGAGAGGACTGAACACTGCTATGTTTAAAAATGTTTTCCAGCCGGGCGCAGTGGCTCATGCCTGTAATCCCAGCACTTTGGGAGGCCAAAGCGGGCAGATCACGAGGTCAGGAGTTCCAGCTTGGCCGATATGGTAACACCCCGTCTCTACTAAAAATACAAAAATTAGCTGGGCATGGTGCCATGCACCTGTAGTCGCAGCTACTTGGGAGGCTGAGGCAGGAGAATCGCTTGAACCTGGGAGGTGGAGGTTACAGTGAGCCGAGATCACGCCACTGCATTCCAGCTTGGGTGACAGAGCAAGACTCTGTCTCAAAAAAAAAAAAAAGTGCTTTCCATCCTTTTAATAATAACAACCAATACACACTATGAGATGACTACCGGGAAGCAGTTCCCTAAGGATCTTATAGGGGATATTTCATTAAATCCTCATGACAACACTTTGGGGTATATGATAATCACCCCCATTTCACAGATGGGAAATGAAGGCGCTGCACTTCCACGGCTGGCTCAAGGCTCCAACAGTCCGATATGGCAGAGCTGGGCCGGGAACGGGGCAGTCTGGCTCCGGAGCCCCCTCTACTTTACACCCTCCATAAAAACTCCTTCTATTTACTGCAAACAGCTCCAGGTGCCACGCATCTTGCTAAGCATTTTACATTTATCACACAGCAGCTCTTCACGTGAAATCCATCAACTCCACTGAAAAATGTATACATGCACACTATGACAACTAAATTTAACACACTTTTTAAAAGACTGAAAAGACACACAACCATTAACAGTGGGCTCCTCAAGTGATAGGAAACAGGCAATATTTATTTTTTATTTGTTTTGTTTCTGAGATGGAGTCTCGCTCTGTCACCCAGTCTGGAGTACAGTAGGGCAATCCCGGCTCACTGTAACCTTCACTTCCTGGGTTCAAGCAATTCTCCTGCCTCAGCCTCCTGAGTAGCTGGGATCACAGGGGTGTGCCATTATGCCTGGATAGTTTTTGTATTCTTAGCAGAGATGGGTTACACCGTGTTGTGCAGGACGGTCTCGAACTCTTGGTCTCAAGTGATCCGCCCACCTTGGCCTCCCAAAGTGCTGGGATTATAGGCGTGAACCACCACTCCTGGCCAATATTTATTTTTTTTCTAACATGTTTCTGTGCTTGTCATAATTTCCACATAGGATGTAGCTTCCTTTTACAATTTCTCTTTAAAATGGGGTTTTATTTCACACCATTTAACAACATGTTGGCATGAATAAATAACCAAAGCAAAAATGTCCAAAGTGGTTCTTGAAGACAACACACAGCCCTCCTGGCCACACAGCACACTGACCAGCGACGAAGAAAGGGAGTAGCACCGAAATGAGGAGGTAGAAGTGTGTTACCTGAATAAATAACAGATGATAAACTCTTCACAGAGTCACTAAAACAAAGCATGTGCGCTGACTTGGCAGAAGCCAGTACAGCCTACATTCCCTTAATAAGGCCGGGCAGGGTGGAGACTGCATTTGCTAACATCACCCTGAGCCAAGCACAACAAGCCTCAGTAGAGAACCCACGTGTGATTCCTCCCCTTTCCAGAGGAGAAGCAGGATGGGGAGAAGCAGACAGCCTTGTGCACAGACAGGCCTATCCTGGGTACAGAACTCGGCCGTCCTGCAGAACACAAGAGCTGTAAGCAGCAGATACTCAAGTAATAGAGTAACACAGAAAGACCTCAGGACCTGACCAGGGTCAGGAATCCCCAGGTAATGCCCTCTATAGAGCTCCCATGGAAGGCCCACTGGATGCCAAAAGCAAAGGTGGGCATTTTTCACACATCCCTGTGCCTGGGTTTTGAGGACAATCCTATGGCAGCAAGCCAGGGGCGCTTGGAAGCTGTTTGCCAAGTTACCACGCTTCCTTCTTCTGCAAACATATGCAGCCACTAAAACTGTCACCAGGAGAGCCCAGTACCACACAGCTTAGGCTGGGGCATTCCATTCCCACAAGATAATTTATGGCAGTTATTACAAGCCTTCAAGAGGGAACATGGGATGTTCTTTGGTCTCGAAAGCTGCCAGGATGTCATGAGAAGGTCCGCGTGCTTGCTACTCTGTGATATCTCTGTGAAAAGGCGTCCTCCCGGTGCTCTAGATGAGAAAGAAAATGCTGTAAAGAAATGTTATTGTTGTCAATCATCTAGGGTCTCCAAGAAGGGGACAGGTTATCTCAAGAAAGGAAAGAGTAACCAAGCTGCATACCCGGCATTTGACCCTGGGCAAAACCCTTTTCATCCCAGCCTCCAAAGACCTGTGCTGGGACTGGAGACAGAGACGCTGGTCGAGGGGTTTCAAAGCCCTTCCTAGATCTTTAAACTCATTCGACAGCTAAAGAGAGAGACCAAGGGGGAGCTGAGAAACTCACACAAGCAACAGCTGATATTACTTAGGATCGTAATCACACATGCAGAGACCTTGCTGAAAGCAAAGCCCTTCCTACTGAGGTTGCTCAATGACCTATCCCAAGGATCTATTTCAGGCGTCCCCAGACTTTTTACACAGGGGGCCAGTTCACTGTCCCTCAGACCGTTGGAGGGCCACCACATACTGTGCTCCTCTCACTGACCACCAATGAAAGAGGTGCCCCTTCCTGAAGGGTGGCGGAGGGCCAGATACATGGCCTCAGGGGGCCGCAGTTTGGGGACGCCTGATCTATTTATTAACAGGGGAAGGGAGGCAGGGAGAAGAAGGAAGGGGAAATTTGCCAGTTTTTCCTAATCCAAATTATCTCATTAAATCCTCCTGTGAACGCCTTGGGTAGGTATCCCACTTTCATAGGTAAGAAATCAGCTCATAAGTAACAGAGGGAGAATTTGAACACAGATGTGTTCAAATAAATGACTCATAAGTAACAGAGGCAGAATTTGAACACAGGTGTGTTCAAATGGATGACCCAAAACCAGTGCTCATGACCATCCTCTCTGGGTTTCTAGCCCTGACTTGCCTCAGATTTGCTGTGTGACCTCAGGCAACTCACATGCCTTTTCTGAGTCTGAAGTTCTTTATGAAATGAAGGCCGTACTCCTTTACTAATTCCTAAGATCCCTTCCAGCCCTGACACTTTTTGGTTTCATCCATGTGGGTTTGGGATTTTACAGACCAATGCAGTTTCAAACATCGCACACGCCAAAATGTGAAGGGTCGGCAGAGGGCCACAACTTTTTACTTTGCCAAATAAAAGGTACTTACCACTTACTAACATTCTTGTCTCACAAAAGGAAATATTTTCTTCCAAAAAATACAGGAAGGACATATTTTCATTGAAGGATGATCCCTTGAATCAAGTAATATTAAGGTTCATTTAGCTTCAGGAGAATCTCAGCCCTTTATCCTTTATCTTTTTTTTTTTTTTTTTGAGACGGAGTTTCGCTCTCGTTACCCAGGCTGGAGTGCAATGGCGCAATCTCGGCTCACCGCAACCTCCGCCTCCCGGGCTCAGGCAATTCTCCTGCCTCAGCCTCCTGAGTAGCTGGGATTACAGGCACGTGCCACCATGCCCAGCTAATTTTTTTTTTGCACTTTTAGTAGAGACGGGGTTTCACCATGTTGACCAGGACGGTCTCGATCTCTCGACCTCGTGATCCACCCGCCTCGGCCTCCCAAAGTGCTGGGATTACAGGCTTGAGCCACCGCACCCGGCCCTTTATCTCTTTTTAACAAGGAATGCTGGAAACCCCACAGGCAGCGTGTCCACTGCACACCAGTGTGTGAGAACCACTGTCACATGCATTTCTAACCATACCAATCTTAGGACATAAAATTTATTGCTGTTCCTGGCACACGGGAAGAACCAGTCAGCTATCAAAACTGCTAAAGATAAATAACACTGATTATAATGATGCACGGTGGTGGTGGTGTTATTGAGACGGAGTGTCCCTCTGTCACCCAGGCTGGAGTGCAGTGGTGTGATCTCGGCTCACTGCAACCTCTGCCTCCTGGGTTCAAGCGATTCTCCTGCCTCAGCCTCCCAAGTAGCTGGGACTACAGGCACCTGCCACCACGCCAGGCTGATTTTTTTGTATATTTAGTAGAGACAGGGTTTCACCATGTTGGCCAGGATGGTCTCGATCTCTTGACCTTGTGATCTGTCCGCCTCGACCTCCCAAAGTGCTGGGATTACAGGCATGAGCCACTGTGCCTGGCATTATTATTATTATTATTATTATTATTATTATTATTGAGTCAAAGTGCTTAGTGTTTGACATGCATTGGTTCATTTAATTCTCCCAACACAATTTTTTTGCCCATTGTCTATCCAAGTATGTATTTCCCCAGGAGTACAATGATATGGAAATGTTTTAGACTAGAAAAAAAACAGATGTAACATATTTCATGGCTCAAAGTGGGGAAACACACACACAGAGACATTTTTTAAAGCACCGTTGCTCTGAGACGAGCACCCGGAAGTTACAGAGGAGCAACTAAAATAAACACACACAGTATTTTCCTTGCAGACTAACTGGTCAGTCAAGAGAGGCACGTGGCCTGAGGCCAATGACCTCAGTGGCTCAATAAATCCCAGGAAAAGATCCCATGGAAGGTCACTGCTGTCATCCTGGGCTATGGAAGAAGGAAACAAA